AAAAAAAAAAAAAAAAAAAAAAAAAAAAAAAAAAAAAGATGAAGCAACTAAAAAGACCGTTCATTTAAAGCTTTTACATTTCCATCATTACTTATGTCTCATAACTAAATAGCATGTGCAAATGGTATCTTTAATGGCTCATCAACTTCAATGATGTTGGGAGACCTCCTAGAAGCTTTGGTATAAACAAGTAATTTTTATAATCCAAAAAGTTACATGTTTTAGAAGAAAAAAAAACATGGCAAAAAATCCAACACACACAACCCTTTCTTGGGTAACATCTTCTGTCTTCCTTACATGCTGCTGTATGTCACTCTTTTAAGAAAGGTAATTGCCATCAGCTTTTTTGTGCTGGAAGAGTACAAAAGTTCTGAAAAGAAGCTGGGGAGCCAGATTCCTGTCTTGAAATACTTAATACCAAGAAAGTGAAGTTCCTTCAAACAAAATAGTCATGGGTTAACATGGACAGCTGTACAGCTTTCTCAAAGAGGCACACAGCCTCTTTCCTCCTAAGCTAACTAAGAACATAGATTTTGTTCTTCAATTTGATATTTAATGGTCAATTTGATGGTAAATCAAGCATTCCCCAAATCAGAGGAAAATTCACCCTCTAAAACCTGAGAAGGGAGACAAAGACTTTCTTGAAATCACTATACACAGCTATTTTCTTAAAGAGCTTTCACATGTGAAAATTAAAGTATGATCCATAATGCTTCTTCAATAAAGGATATTTGACTACTGAAGGGAAAGAAGGGAGATGGCAGGAACAACAGAGCGTGTAAACCTAAGATTTTGAGATGAATATCTAGCTGAACATTTCCATTTTGAATTCCAGCTGAATCTTGCATTCCCTTATTTTTGTATTGCTGTCAGTTCCAAGAGGGCATAAACATGCAGAATAGGGCCTAACCTGAGCCTAATTAAGTTTCCATAACCAGGAGTGCAGGCCATCAAGGCAATACATGCCAGAAATTCTATACAACTTCACAGAAGGCTCCAAGAAAAGCCGCTAAGATCTCTCCACCCATGCTAAACCTGCCAATCAGTATAAGGAATGATGCACAGGGAGATCGGAGTTCATCTAATACAACCTAAACCTCTAGCTAGTGTCATCTAAACTACACCTCCCCTGACACAGCTTCAATGGCATGAAGCCTAGTCAGGAGAAAGGCTGGATATTAGGAAAAGTTTCTTCACTCAGAGGGTGTTTGGGCACTGGAGCAGGATCCCCAGGGAAGTGGTCACAGCACCATCCTGACAGAGTTCAAGAAGCATTTGGACAACACTCTCAGGCACCGGGTGTAACACTTGGGGATGTTCCTGTGCAGGGCCAGGAGTTGGGACTTGATCCTTGTGGATCCCTTCCAACTCAGCATATTCTGTGATTCTGTAACTCTAGGACTCTGTCGTTTTGAAATTAGTACAAGTCTGGGAAGGTTTATTAGTTTGTAACATCCAACTTTCTAATTTCCAAATCTGAAGTGGCCCCAGGAATAGCACAGTTGAACTCCCCAAACACTCAGATAACAATACAAATACAACTTCTTGGTCCAGAAGCAGACAAACACAAAAAAAAAGAACCAGTTGTGTGTCTGTATTTGATATAGTAAATACACATCATCAATAAAATACCTATAGATAATTTAGATGAACTTTGGAAAGATACTTTCGATACCTACATATCAATGGAAGTGCCATTTAGAAACAGAGTTTATGAGATTATTTTAACACATAAAGGAGCCCCAAAATCAAAAAGTTTAAATAATAGTACATCCTACATCCAGAAAAAAGTACGCAAGAGGAAAAATAAGGAAAAGTGCAGTTAATATGACCAAGATGTAGTCAACATATGGTCAAATGTATCAGCTTCCCTGAACAATAATGAAAATTCTCAGCCTCTTAGTCTGTTAAAAATGTCTGAAGGTCCATGTACTCAGTTTTTGTACTTTCCTCAAATATTAGGATTAGCAGAATGTGAGCAGGAACACCAGCCTTTAATTCTGTTCTACTTCCACACCTGAAAACATTAAGACTTGCACTAAATTAAAAATTTCCCCTCTTTCACGACCACTCTTAAGACTTCTTTTCATACCAGGACCAATTTTCTTCAGTACTGTCATCTTTAGAGTAGTGCAAAAGGGAACAGATGAGCAACAACTAAGAAACAAAGAAATAAAAAAAGCAAAAAAACGCAGACATAGGTCAGATGCAGTAAATATAGAAGAATGTCATTAAAAGACAGAAACTTGACATGAAAGTGACAAAGAACATAGCAAACAAATAAACCAACACCTCAGACAAATAGAAACAACAAAGAACAATTAAATTATTTAAACAAGCATTGAAAAATATTGTTCTGGTAACATAATTTCTTCTAATCAGTAATTACACTGATTTCAGAAGACCAAAAAGCACTGGAAGCGACAGAGACTACGACATGAAAGCCATATGTAATAAACAGAATGAGTTATTCAACAGGTTAGGGAATTACCCTGACAAACTTGACTAGAATATAGATGCTGTTTTCCTGAAAGCAACTGAAACACAACTATACTGGAGAAAACAAAACAAAACAAAAAAAAAAAAAAAAACAAAAAAAAAACAAAAAAAAAAAAAAAAAAAAAAAAAAAAAAAAAAAGCCCTGACAGGCCTTCTGACATATACACACAAGACTGATGATATTTCCTGTGGTGCTTTAGGAATTAGAGCTCCTTACTAGTCTCCTTTCTTTTCTACTCCTGCTCTCAAAATGCAGCAGCAGAATTGCCACCAAACATGTTCCACACAATCCTTCGGTAAGAATATAATTTTAAATACATCATTCAGTAATGCTGCCATGCAATACTTTTGTTTATACAACTTATCTGAAATTCAATTGTTCATCTGAACCATGAAATTTATCCTCATTGTAATACACAAGAATATAGATTCTTTCTCAATATTACAAATTAAAACATTCTTTTAAAAAGGCTGTCTATTATAGATACATGTAAATGCTTAATTTACATTTCCAATATCTTATTTAATGCTTGTTGAACCCTGATTTTTTATTTTTAAATACATAGGAATGAACTCACAGCTCTAAGTATTATTCATACATGTGTTATATTTTATGTAGAAATTGCACACAGATGCCAGTTACAAGAACTTAAATTCAGATATTTGTTTTTAGACATGAGGAGAATAATCTGAATTTACTTTTCAAAATGTTCATTTTGTAAACTGTCAATTGATGAACAGGTATTTGGTATTTTTAGTAACCTGCAACAACCAGTCTATGTATCATAATGATATATCTTTTGATAGTTAAGAAACACAAGTTTTAACTGTTTTGCTTGCCTTGTACAGGTACTGTGTATCCTACATATAGCATAGACAATAGAGAAAAAGAAAAAAAAAACCTTTTTTTTAAGAACAGCTACTTTTAGTACAGATATCACATTACTTTATTCTAGAAATTATTAGATACTTAGTCTGTTTCAAGCATGGCTGAAAAAATACAAACCCCAAAATGATATATTAAGAGCTACATCCATGTGTTATTCACAACACATGGAGATGAACAGCAGACATGCTTCAACTAAAGGATGACTCTTCTCCAGCCTATATACTAAGAAAGATCTTTAAACATATTTCTAACACTTTAGAGAAATATGTTCCAAGAAGTTTACTTTCAGAGTCATAGTATCCTAGGATGGTTTGTGTTGGAAGGGACCCTAAGGATGACCCAGCTCCAAACCCCTGCCATGGACAGGGACACCTTCCACTAGACAAGGCTGTGCAAAGTCCCATCTAACCTAGCCTTGAATACTTGCTAGTAGGGATTAGACAACCACCCTTTGTCTGGGCAATGTGTTCCAGTACCTCACCACCATCACAGTATAGAATTTCTTCCTAGCAGCTAGTCTACATCTCTCCACTTCTGGTTTAGAACTATTCACTCTTGTCCTATCTGCCCACATAAAAAGCCACGCTCCTTCCTTTCTGTAAGCCCGCTTTAATTACTGGAAGGCTCTCCAAGAGTCTCCTCGAAGCCTTCTCTTCTCCAGGCTAAACAACCCCAACTATCTCATCCTGTCTTCACAGCAGAGGTGCTCCAGCCCTCTGATCATCTTTGTGGTACTTGGTGGACACACTCTCACAGCTCCTTCTTATGCTGAGGGACCTAGACCTGGATGCAATGCAGCCATCCACCCAATTCCTAATCCACCAAGTGGTCCATCCATAAATTCCCCAGTATCTCCAGTTTAGAGACATGGATGTCATGCAGAACAGTGCCCAATGTTTTACAGAAGTCCAGCCTGATGACACCAGTCACTCTTCTCTCTGTAAGAAGGCCACCACATTCGTTGGCACAACTATTTTTCCATTCCATCACCTGTTTAAGTTCAAGTCAATTTCTGCAGTACTGGTAACCCATGTACTGTCTTATTCTACCACCTAGGAACAGGTGGTAGAGAAAAAAATTAGAGAAAATTTAACTTAAAATCTAATGGTGGAGTTGAGAAAAGAATTCAAGGTGCTTCTCAAGGCACCAATTTCTGTGGTTTATAAGCACTGTTCCACTTTTTCTTTATAAAACACCTACATAAGTAGTTGAGAAAATTGAACAGAGTCCTGATGTGGAAGCTTTCTAAATACTAGTATCCTCTACAGAGAAAAGCACTGTATAGGCACACCTAAGCAGCCAGGGAAGGAGGAACAGTGTCACTACACTAGCATATAATCCCTTTCACCTTAGCCTACATCACCTCTTAAGATGCCCCGATGTCTCAGGACAGCACTGCACTATTACAAAGATAGGATTTCAAAGCTAAATTCACACCCAAGTTAAAGCCAAGACTTCTATATCCAAGCAGATTCTCAATGGCTGCAACAGGACTTGTCAGAGGTGAAATGTTTATGGAACCCAATCACAAGGTAATGACACAAGCACCTAAATATTCCATACAAAATACTAGACAATGTACAAAGGAAATTATTAAAAAAAAAAATCTTACCTGCTGTTGTTGATTTTCCAACTCCCCCTTTTCCAGAAGCCACAACCACCACCTGCTTAACTCCTTCTATGGGCTTCTGCTTTGGCAGCCCTCGTGACAGGATCCGAGCACGTTTGTCCCTCAGAGCCTCATCGCCAGAGCTTGAGGACTAACAAAAACCAAAAAGCAAGTGAATACATGTGCACCAAGCTGCCGTTCTCGCAGATAAAGCTGACAGGAGGGAACCTACATGCACACTGAGAAATTTTCACCACTTGTCTAAAAAAACATTCTGCACAGGGGTTCTCCCAAAGGGAAGCTGCTTCACCGGCAGGCAAGGACTGGGCCAACTTAGAATAACACTAGTCACATGTTTTTGGTGGGTTTTTTTTGACAAACACTTAAATATGATTGATCTCAACAGCCAAAGAAAAAAAAAAGCGTTGAAATAAACCAAAACACTGCTTAAAAATCGGAAGCTTTATGGAACAGACTAGACTTGGCGGTCCTTTCGGTACAGCTGTTTCAGGCATAACAAAAGCAGCAGCGAAGGAGCAGGAACGCGAGGTGCTGGGGCCGGCGGTGCCGGGCAGGCGCTGCCCGAGCGCTGTCCCTGCCCCGAGCCGCGCCACAGGCACCGCACGTGTGCGGGCGCTGCAGCGCGCCCCGCACCGCTGCTCCCGCCGCAGCGGAGCCACACGCGGGGCCCCGCGGCTGGACGGACGGAGCAGCCGAGCCGAGCATCCCCGCAGGCAGAGTCCCACCAGCTCCCGGCTGGCACAGTGGTACGGCCACGGGCGCCGGGCGCCGCGCAGTGCTCCCACGGAGTTCACGGCAGTCTGAGTAAAAAGCGGGCAGAGCTCACGCATCTTCCTCTCCCGGCCCGGCGCTGCCCCAGACCGGCCGCGACCGCATCCCCTCCCGCAGGGACGCTGCTGCTGAACCGGCTGCAGCACGACACGGCGGTCAGGGCACCCGCGCACGGACAGACCGTCCCGCCTGCCTCCCCTACGGCACCCCCGCAAGCACAGGGACAGCCCAGCCCGGCCCTCGCCCGCCCCGTTCCGGTTCCGCTCCCGCCCCGGCAGCCGCGACGCACGGCGCAGCTCCCGCCGCACTCACCGCGGAGCCGGCGGACGGAGCGGCGCAAGCGGCAGGCGCGCAGCCCGGGCCGCCCCGCCGCGCCGCCGGAGCCCTCCCGCCGCCGGGCAGGAGGCGGGCGGCGCGCAGCGCCCAGCGCCAAGCGGCACCTCCCATGGCCGGGCGCGCCGAGATGGCGCCGCGCGGCCGCGCCTCGGCCCGCCCCCCGCGCCGCGCTCCGCCCGCTCCTGCCGGCGGCGCTGGGCGGGCCCGGCAGCCCCGGGCGGGCCCGGCAGCCCCGGGGGCAGCGGGCGGCGCGGCGGGGCTGGGGGCGTGGCCCGAGAGGTGCCGCGGCTCCGCAGCTGCGGAGAGCGCCCCGCGGCCTCCCGCCGGGCGGCGGCGCTGGGAGCAGCAGCACGGAAAGCAGGTCCCTGCTGCTGTCTCTAAGGAAAAAGGAAAACGGGACCAAGGGATCACCACCGAGTGACCGCACGAATTGCAAACGCCTTCGGGCTAATTCCTCACTATGCTGCAGTTCTCGCAGAGGCTCGTTCTGGCGCTGTCTGCAGTGCTCCTTCGGCCCGTCGGTGCTTTCTCCATTCTCATCTCGGCCCGCAAAATGGTTGGGCAAGAGCTTGTTCCGATCTTGGTTTGTGTCCTCTACAAATATAATAAATATATCCCATTTCCTCCTTTGGATCAATACGTAAAACAACATAGAGACCTATAGCTGAGACAGATGCCGCCTGTTTGGTGTTTTTTTCGCTTATTTAGATTTTCATGTTTTGGTTGGTTGGTTGGTTTTTTTTTTTAAGAATCACAGAATTGGTCAATTGGAAGGCCACCACCGTGGATTGTCTTGTCCAGCCTCCTTGCTCAAACAAGGAGCACGATGGCACTATCTTGTGCCATTCAAGAGCACATGGCACAAGATTCCATCCAGATGGTTCTTACATATTTCCAGTGAGGGAGACCACAGCCTCTCTTAGCAATCTGTTCCAGGGCTAGATCCCCTGCACAGTAAAGTTGTTTTTGCTCAAAATCAGGGGGAACTTCCTGTGCATCAGTTTCTGCCCATTGCCTCTTGTGCTATCAGTTTGGCTCTGATCATTGTTCTGATGATAGTTTTGATGTTCCATCCAGTTTGCCCTCACTCAGTAAAAGTTCATCAAAACCCATTTCAGTTTATGTCATGTGAGATTTGCTTAAAGCTTTAGGACACACATAATCTCCTGCTTCTCTCCCACCTACAAGCCTTGTAACCACCTTGTGGGAGGAAATTAGATTGGTTTGACACGATTTGCTCATAAAATTCCATAAATAGTCCTTATTCAGCTAAGTGATATAGAAATAATTCAGATCTTAGCAATTTCAGGTCATTAGTCTGCAAATATGTAGTATAGACAGTGTCTTTTGTTGGTATTGGTCATAATATGTAATGCATCTGAGAATTTTACATCTGTTTAAAATGTTAGTACAATAAACATTTCCTCTCTTTCACAGTGAGCAGAATTTGCTTTTTAAATTGTATTATTAAAAGTTCTAATCAAGCATTTTGCTAAACCCCACCATTTCCAAAGGCATGTTCCAGTGCTCAGCTACAACACATAAATTACAATGCTGAAAATAATTTTTTTTTCCTATCCTGAAGTGATTCCCATTCGACCTACATTCCTGATGTATATGAGCATATTTTGCATATCTACAGACAGCTGTATTTTGCGTGTCCACGGACACCTGAAGAGGTCAACTAATTTTCCAATAATTTACCCTGCTGTCAAACCAAACAGAGAGAGAATACTGAAAACCAGCAAGCCACTGCATTTTGAAACTGTCATATAGACTCCAGGGTTTTTTTTTTTTTCATTGCCTCTGGAAATCATGTTACCTTTTGCATTGTGGGAAATTTGCATAATTGTTTTTCCTATCTGGAGCAGTTGGAGGCAGTGTTAAAGTGCAAGATACCGTGCATGTAGCATCAATGGAGTCAGTACTGCAGGATCACAGCTAGGCACACGCTTGAGATATGGTATGGGTCACTTCAGAGAAAAGAGCATGGCAAAACATATATATGATACACTTGTCATTTTGAGAACAACTCGAACACTGACAACAATAATACACAAATATTTTTGTGAGGTTTTGTAAAGCTGATCTAGCACAAACTAAAATTTAGCTAACAATCCTCAATGTTTTTAGTTTTAATAATTTATTCTATCCCTAGTTTGTTAACTACCCTGTTGTCAGGATAGCTAACATGGCACTAGGTTGTATTGAATACGAGTGTGAAATGTTGTGTTTGGCCATTAGAAAGGGAATCAATTTGCTCAGCAATACAGCGGGCATTTTCAAAATGCCTTGACTCTAGTGGAATACACTGCAGTTTGATTTGGTAGTGTTTCTATCTCTACTCATTGTGAAGACAATTTTAGGGATTGCACATTTCTCACAATTGCTCTTGGCTTCATATTTAAATTTTAACATTTGAAAATATTCTTCTATGTTGTTTGACTGGTATGTTATTGCACAACACACAGTGGTAAAATATGAGTCTAGGAAAATGCAACCAAAAATGAACAAGATTTTTACTTCTAGACTTGAGTCTTGATGAAAAGTACAGGTAACCTTAGCATCTTGCAGAAAATTCCACTTCAGACTTTCCAAAAGCATAACAAAATGAAAGACACAATATTTGATTTTAATGCAAACTGATAGTGTTTTCTCTAAGTAAATGCAGGAAAATGTTTCACAGGCTCTAAATTGCTATTCAACCTGAACAATAATATGATAAAAATAGAACTGATTTTTGTGTGAAATGAGATTGTTTTGTGTTTAAATATATTCTTTCTCTATCCAAGATCAATTAAGGGTATTCAGGTATGTCAGGATCCATCCCCATATGGGCCACCAATTGTTGGTGCTGGTGCTTGGCATCAATCAACAGTGGATGGGAAAGGACTGTCACAGTTTATTCTCTTACTGGAAGACTTTTATACCTTCTCTCACAGACAGCTCCTCGCAACACTGACTCCTTTTCTTTATTCCGCACAGCTGGCTGACTCCTTCCTGTCCCTATCATAGCCACCTGACCCTTTCTGTCCCTAGTAACAGCACACTATCCCTTACTGTCCCTAGCACAACCCTCTGACCCTTGCCCCTCCCAGCAGCACAACCAACTGACTCCAACTCTCCTCTTGACCAGCTAACCCCCTCTTTTATAACACCCATCCTCATTGCACCATCCTTATCGGACACAGCTGTGACCTATTAAAGGCAAGGCTGTTCCTACTCTTTGGTAATTAGCACAGTTGCAATTCCTCAGGGGTAAGATTGCCTTCAGCACTATCTCTAATCTCCTACAATCCATCCTCCCACAAGGTATGGCTAGGAAAGATTTCTTGTCAAAATAATTCCAAAATTTAAAAATTAAATAACAGTTGAAAAATTACTTGGTAGGTAATTAGGTTGGTTTGTGTGCAGTAGGACATGACTTTAAAAAAAAAAGAAAAAGTAGCCATTCTCATTTCTGGGTGTCTGCATAGTACCACATTAATAATATAGTAACTGCAAACTCTTTCTCATATAAGCCATTTATTTCAGACACAATTTGAACTAGAAATTATATTAAAGAATGGCAGAAGAAAGATGCTTCAGAACCAAGGAGTGATTTTAGCTTCATGACCAGGCCTGCAACCTTTAGCCACAGAGGTATACCACTGCATACTAAGATGAGTGAGTGTGAGCTTCAGATTCTGGGTTTTTTTTCCCTCAGCTGGTTGGCCAGCCCTGGTGCTTTTAAGGTAAGTAAGGTAAAAATGATGCTTTTTATCTTTTTTTGTCACATGGTAATAATTACTTGGTTCAGGGCTCTGCCCTGGTTAATGAGCCTTGGGCTCTTAGCATTACCTCTTGGCTCAGCCAGTATTACCTTGCTGTTTCTCAGGATAGCTGCCACCTCCTCCCTTTGGCAGCTCTGAGAGCATCTAGAGCATGCTCTTGCCAAAACAGCATTCTCCTGTGGGGTTGACAAACTGTATCAAGCTGCAGAATAATCCAAGCCAAAATGCCTACTGGTGTGAGTTCTTTGTTTTATCTTTGCTGTTCTCCTCGTGGAAGTTAAAGCAACTTCCATGTTGCTTTACTTAATGCTGAAACACTCATCTGGCCTTACACAGACCAGCATCAGCTTGGCAGAGCTTGTGCACAGGGGCACGGTGGCATACCTGGGATGACAGTCTCTAGATATATCAATAAGGCACATCTTAAAAATGTGTAAATAGG